AGCTCCCTACCCCCCTGATCACCCTGCGGCTCTGTGTGTGACAGTGTGCAGCGCCTCAACCCCCTGATCGGCCCTGCTCTGTGGGTGATAGAGGGAGGCGCTCCAACCCCCTGATGGGCCCTGCTCTGTGTGTGACAGGATACGGAGCCCAAACCCTCCTGATGGGTCCTGCTCTGTGCATGACAAGGGGGAGCAACCCAACCCCCTGATATGCCGGCTCTGTATGTGACAGGGGAGGCACCACAACCCCCTGATCTGCCCTGCTCTGTGCGTGACAGGGGGTGGCGCTGCAACCTCCCCATCGACCCTGCCTTGAGTGTGACAGGGGGGGGCACCCCAACCCCCCAATCTGCCCAACCCTGAGCGTGACTGAGGGTGGCATAGCAACCTCCTGATCCACCCTGCTTTGTGCATGATGGAGTGGTGCCCCAACTCCCCAATTGGCCTTGCTCTGAGCCCAACCAAGGGCTGCACCTAGGGATTGTGCCTGCCCTCTGCCACCCGAGAGCAGGCCTAAGCCAGCAGGTCGTTATCTTCTGAGGGGTCCCAGACTGTGGGAGGGTACAAATGGGGCTGAGGAACACTGCCCCTCCCCCCGAGTGCACAAATTTTTGTGCACCGGGCCTCTAGTAATGATAATAATAATAATAAATAGTCTTGCTGGGTAGAATAATCTAAGTTGTAGGTGTTTGCTTTCCATCACTTTGAATATTTCATGCCACTCCCTTCTGGCCTGCAAAGTTTGAGTTGAGGAATTAGTTAGGATTCTTAGGGAGCCCCCTTATAGGTAACTAACTGCTTTTCTCTTGCCACTTTTAAGACTTTTTTTCTTTGTATTTTTCATTTCTCACTGGGTGTTTTTTACGCTTTTTATCTCCATTCTATGTTTCCTCTCTCTTTGTTGAAGTTCTCAGTCAAATAATCTATTCTTTCCCAAAGTTCCTTGAGCGTTCTTATAACCAGTGTTTAGAATTCTACATTTTGTAAATTGCTTGCCTCCATTTTGTTTAGTTATTTTTCTGAAATTCTGTCCTGATCATTCATCTGGGACATGTTTCATTGTCTCCTCATTCAGCTGCCTTCCTATGTTTATCTCTATGTGTTTGGTATATCTGCCACATCTCCCAACCTTGGCAGAGTGGCCTTATGTAGCAGGCTTCTCTTGGGGCCCAGTGTTGCAGCTTGTGTTCATCTGAACCAGGTTCTCTTGGGGTGTCTAACGTTTGGGGTGTGCATGCTTTCTTGTTGTAGTTGAGCCTTGATTGCCCTTGGCACATCAGTGTGTGGGACTGCCTCTCATGCTGAGTTGGGGTCCCATTTCATAATGTTCACCTGTGGGTGTGGTACCAGCCAGTTTCATTTTTCCCTCCTACCAGCCTTGTGGTGACATTTAAAAAAAAAAATGTGTTTATTGATTTTAGAAAGAGGATGTAACAAGGAGAAACCTGTGATGAGAAACAAGTTCAGATGACTGAAAATAGCTAGCAATATGGAATAAACTGTTTGGACCCTGAAACACAGTAAACACTGTAGTGTTTAGAATAGTGACCAAGTGGATATTGGTAACATGGACGAAGGTATAGAAAAGAGGAGGTAATTTGTTTGTTGAAAAGTAATATACATAGTAAATATCCTAAGTTACTGGTTCCCGTGGCTTCCTTACTAGGCATTATATTAACCTGCTCTCACATGAGGACCATCTCTATTCCCACCAGATCAGGGGGTTGGAGAGGGGAAATGTGTTGAAGTTTTGTTAGTGAAAGAGCTTATTACTTCATGACTCATAGTGTCTCTTTCCTCCTTAGGATGTGAAAGGCATTATGGAAAGGTATGTATGGGAAACCAGAGATGGTCTTTTTGTGCTGTAAAAAGTATTTAAAGACATTAATGATACCTGGTGATTAATAAGAATAAACTATTGCTCAGGGCAGAAACATTTGGATGTAGTTTCACCTTAAATTTCTGTTCACATATGGCTTGTGTATTGTATACCTATTGACAATGAACCAGATTTTATGTAGGCAATTTACTTGAGGGGAGTTGCAAAGTTTGGGTTAGTAGCAGTTAAACATAAGATGTTGCAGTATCAGACCCATCTGACTTCATAAATTCTATGCATTCAGCATGCCTGTATCTAACTCAGATTTTCACATGTAACAGGTGATGTATTGACCATGGGAATGTCATGTCTTCTTTACCTCCTAAGGACTCAGAATTTGAGACAACTCCTTTATATTTAAATTTCTGCTCTCTGAATAGAAGATAGGGTTCTCTTTATTTTCCAAAAGCTGACTTGAATATCAAGGAATATTTTGACCCTGGGAAAAACAGTTGATCCATCTTGGTCATGCACTTTTGAAATCTGAATGGAAGGGCAGTATCTTTGTGTCTAAATTTGAACACCTACTTGACTGCTTTAATCTATTCCAAACACATGAAATTCAGACCACTAGTAGTATAGCATTCAAAATATCTTATTTTCCAAGTGTTATATATTTTTTCTCAGAGTACCTGAAATCTCAGATGTAGTTCTGGAGGCCTCCTACTGGGCAGTGGAATTTAAAGGTCTTGGTTCTTCCCAGACAGTATTCCCACACTTGATATATCTCAAACATAAGGAACCATGTTCTGCATCCTCACATTCTTGTCATATTGCTGGGAATTTACATCCATGTCACGATGTTTCCTTATACTAATTTATTTCAAGGTACCAAATTTTGCATTTTAAAGAAATGCACTATGGCACATAATTTCATATTTTTAGGAGTTAGAAAGGGAGAGGATAGTTATCACTGTGAAAGGAATAAACTACTTCTGAGAGGTCAATGCATTTCCAAAGGCAGACAGCAGTCAACTGGGAAAGCGG